GATCAGTGCTGCGTCACTGAAAGTGTTACCACGTTAAAGGCAGAATAAAATAAATAAAAAATAAATAAAATCCTAAATTTTCTAACCTCAGCCCTTTCATGGTTGTGGTCTACACCCTCCATCTGCGAGAAAAAAATATTTTTGTAAATATATTAATATTATGCAAACTTAAAAAATTGACTATGATAAATAATGCCAATATTGAAGTAATAAATATCATACATCATTTTACCTCAGTGCAACATCACATAATAATGATTTCACTAAATACTAACACTAATGGAATGAAACATCAAGTGTGGAAACCTGACATTAAATTGATAGAGCCTTAAGTCTTTGTCTACATTAAGTAAACATTTGCGATATTGAATATCCAGGTTCGGTAATCTCCACTGACAGTATTAATAATATCAACTCTAATTCTAACCCCTTTATGTTAGGATAAAAGAAGCACTTTAAGCTGATGATCAGATATTCAATGGCAGAGTATGCACTGAATTCTTTTTTCTGACAGAATTTTATCCAAATTCTAAGCTCTTCCTTCTGAATTATTTGCAAATAATGTTATAGTTTACAACTGTCACAATCCTTGAATAAAAATATTTAAAAAGTTAGCTTTGTCTTTTCATGGCACTCTCACTACAGACTTAAAGTTGAATATAATTTTTCTTTCTTTCTCAATTTTTGTAATCGTAAAATTCAAGGGGAAGGAGGCCCAAGCCAGCAGCCTCCCAACCTAAATCCGCCACTGAGTATTCCAGTCAAGTAACTAATTTAAGATTTTGTTAAAAAAAATAAAAGTAGGCCTATGTCCAACAATACCATGAGAATGACAAATATGTGATCTATTTAACTTCATAATAATTTATAAATTACTTCCTTATTTCCTTAAAAACGCATAATAATGGCAGTACCACAATGTGACTGCTGTGAACATCTTGCTATCTGTACAAAAAAATAAACACAATAAGCTTTGTGTTGGGCCGCAAGTTGCAGCCCTGTCTGTAATAAATATGAATTTCATATCTCCACTTTATTTAGAAATGCTCATCTGCATCTGGTCTTACATAGTTTAATAAATAGAAAGCATGTTCTACGCCTCTACCTTTTGGTATGGGGGTTTTTCCATTTCTGTTCATTTGTTACTATAATTATCACTGTTACTATTAATACTTATTATATACTCATATTTTTTTATAGTCAAACTAGGAACAGTCACTTCTAATTCATCTGTGTCTTGTGGTTTCTCATTTCTGATGCAATGTGTTATAATAATTGCATTTGATATAATGAAAGGCAATTTGTAAACATTATTTTCACTTAAAATAACTGTGCATGAACTTGTCTTTTAAAGTTTAATATTTGTATGCATTATTAATGTAACTATAGACATGGTAGCATTATTCATTCTGTTCAATGTCTGTGAAATAGAACCATGCATAATTTATATAGCGCATCATGCCATCAAGTTCTCCACGCATTTCACATTGACTCGAACACCTACAAAACAATTACTGGGTGGAGAGAGACCAACATGGGTAAAATGCCTTATTCAAAGGTTGCACGAGGGGTGTGAACATGTGGAAAAGTACAAACCACAATCACTGCACAAAGCAGTTTATGAAATGATGTTTTGATTAAATTTTGGGAGTGAAACTATCAATTTGATGCTTAAGATGATCACCAAGATGATCAAGGTCTTTGGTTCGAATCCTAATTAATAACTCCCTTTTTCTTATGACTCAAACCAACTACACGCTCCACAGCCACTTTCAGACAGACTGGGCTGCCAATATTGTAGTAAAATGTTGTGCTTAATGGGAAGCACACTTTTAATTTATACAAAACAAATATTTTACAGCATATATTTTCTTAATATAAAGACTTTCTGTATGAATGGATTAGGCACAATAGCTAGCCACTGGTAATGTCATTTGTATAAAAAAAATATATATATAGTTTGTCCAATTCGTTATCTTTATTTAGACTGAATAAATTAATATTGAGGTAATATTGCGGAAAAGGGATCAAGAGTCCACAATATTTGCTAAATGGATGACACATACAAAAATAATAGTGTTAACAATGATTTAACTTCAAAATCCAAATGTCAAAATTAAATTTAGTACTGTAAATTACATCTGACAATAATTATAGTATTTAATTTTTAAATCTGTATTCCAGAAATCAAATATTATCCTATAAAACTAGCTTTTTCCACACTATCAATTTTTATATGACATTGACAAACCGTGATTTGCCCATATTTGGGTATAAGATATCACTATGTCCAAGGGAAATCATTGATATTAGGAAGCTTTCAATTTGTGCGATGACGTGACGCTAGAACGGAATCACTCATGCGTGACCTTCCTATCTGGCGTCCTACGTTCTCTGCATACATACATTTGGCCAAATTGCGTTCCAGAAACTACTCGACGAGGTAACCTTAACGTTCTCGCATGCGCACATGACTTTTAGTGACGTCATTACGTTGTACGTCCTACTGTCGTCGTGCAACCAAAAGCTCCCTATTTGTTACATAAAACCTGATAGTGTAAACAGAGATATAAATAATACAGTTTTGTACATGCAGTTGAACGTCTTGCAATAAAAAATACCAGGTGTCAATATTCTCGCAAGATTATTATTCCTTGATCAATGCAAAACATGATACCACCTGCGGTACCAGGGGACGGCAGTGAAGTGTATAATGAACGTACTGCTCAACATGACTGATCTTATGTGGAAGGTGACAACGTAGATAAATTACTTTGCCACAAGATACTTTTATTGTAAGTGAGCAATGTAGGATTTGAACCACTGAACTCAAAGTTGAATAAGAAAGCATATCTATCAACCAACCAATTTCAATCACTTGAACACAGGAATATTTCTAAATACAATATTTAGAAATAATAGCTTGGCTAGCAGCTAATTTAAGGGCCTATGCAATGAAATAAACAATGGTATCAAACATCTGTTTACCGTTATTGAAAAATTTCTTTTCATTCTGATTACAGTACTTCTCAATGAAAACAAAATTACTTATTGAAATCAGTGACATACATGAGTCTTGAAATGGGAAGGCTGATTGGAATTGGGGGGGAGGGGGAGTTAGATACGCCACTGATTGAAATACTTGAAAGTACACAATTAATTTTATTTTAAAGTTTATTGGATTCATGTCTCACATGTAATCAATGAAAGCAGTTCACTGACCACATAATTGAATTTAATCATAAATCACTCAATAACAATCAATAAAGGAAATTATTCTCAAGGTCAGAAAAAAATTGGATGTGAGCTTATATGAATTTATCCATGAATTACATATTTTCCTTTCAATGACAAAAAAGTTTGTCTATAGCCGAGTGAGAAGGATCATTACTAGATTTATTTTAAGTTATGTTGAAGACATTTTTCTCTTTTATTATCACTGTAAATAAATTATATTACCTGTGCAGTATAATTTGTTAATATTTTTTGTGTCATGATAATAAAGAATATCTGCATAATAGGCCTAATATTTACTCTGCATTTCAAGATATTTATCTGGAAGGAGAATATATGCAATTAGCCTAATAAAAACAAATTTGCACTCTTTCCTGTCTATCTCACATACATACCGTATATTCCGGTGTATAAGCCGTAAATTTTATACGCGCGACCCCGAAATTTGGGGTGCGGTTTATATACCAGTCGAATCCTCAAAATTTAAGATCGTGAAGTATACCCACATTTCCAGTTGCTTGTTGTTTAAATAATCAGCTGATATTTGTAAATAATGTCAATGTTTCAAAATATTAAAAACTTAACATTTTGGGAACGGTTTGGAGCTTCAAAATAGGTGTAGCTTATACACAGGTGACACAAAAAAATGTGATATTTCGCATCCTAATCAGAGGTACGGCTTATACACAGGTGTGGCTTATACAGTACATTGGAATATACGGTATCTCAAAGTCATTACGACATTGGGATTTATAAATAACAAAAATGACTTTCCAAGAAAAGTTTTACAAATTCATGAATTATTCATACAGAGTGCCTACACGTTATGTATAGTAAGGAGTTTTTTTTGTATTCCTAATGTCTAACCTCACACATGGATAACTTGTGTACTGAATTCACTGACATTTAATGATTCTATACTCAGTTCAACATTTTAACATATATATATTAAGCAAAGAATCTTTTAACTAAAAACAAAAATAATTACTATCGATACTCCTTAGTGTGATGAGAGATTACAAAATTAATGGTATTTATATACAGCAGCCCATGAATCATTATTATTGACAGATCCTTACACAGTGACCATTGATATATTAATTACAACCTTTTCAATTACATATTGAATGATGAAATGTTCAGTGGCATGAAATACTGCATACAGCATACTTCCACCCTGCCGTTCTCCCCTTCTCTTAAAAAATCTACATACTTTTTAACATTCTTCCCTTAAATCTACATCAGTTTTAACTATTCTATTAATGTTCTACTCCAGTAGAATTACATTTTTTCTAACCTAGTTAGGATCAATACGTCTTTATGATAATAACACATTTTGATGGTAATTATGTGTTGTACAGCAGTTCCACAATTAAGGGATGTTTATTTGAGTAACAATTTTACAACATACAAAATAAACACCTCCCTCGAGTACACTCCCCCTCAAAAACCCTTCTCCCTGGGGCGCTTATTCAAATAAATATGAATAAAAAATAATTAAATATAAAAATAAATACAAATCAAGAATGATGGCAATAATTTCTAAAATATCAACATTGCTGCATTACAACAACTAACCATGGTAGGCTACTGAAAAAAGGAAATTACTGTACAGGAACATATAATAACTTGTCAGGATGTTTACATAACAATGACCTTAATCTAAAATATAGACTGCAGAAATTAATATACATTTGCTGCAAAGGTAAATATATACAGATTATTTTTGTTACAAATAATAATTGCTAAAATTAAAGCCTACATACCAGTAGTTTTATTTACTGCTTGCTGTCCAGCCTGCTTAAGCCTTTACTATTAAAATGATAATGCTACAGCATCCTGTGTGCAATGCCTAGCTCGTATGATGAAAGCTTCCTTGTGTTGTGTTATTGAAATTACTCACTGTGTATGCCATGTGATCAACAAATCCCACCCACATCACACTGTTAAAATTACATCATTGATGAATGCTGCCACCTAGAGGCAAGGTTTAATAAGGAATTACTTCTATTTTTATTAATCAGTCTTCATTTTTAATAATTGTAATCATTTATAATCCGATGCAAATGTAAGTAGAGCGATTATATTTTGTTACAGTTTATGCATCAAAATAAAATATATGCCAGTAAATTAATTTACTGCTCACTAGCGTTTACTATTGTAATGCGACAGCTCCTTCCCATCTGCTTTGCCTAGTTGACAGATTGAAAGCTTTGTTGTGTTTAAAATCATTCACTATATGTATATGCCATGTGATCCCTGAATCCCACCCACATCCGTCTCATTCAATAACATAATCATTGATGAATACTGCCATCTGGAGGCAGGATTATATCTTATTATTGTTAATATCATTATTTCTAAAAATAATCTATAATAACGGTTGATAGATAGATATAAGGATAAGAAAAATACATAATTATTCACGTTCTTGAAAATGTAATTTCTCTATAAAGAAAATGTAGTGAAATACCAAGTAGTGGCTGTATTTTTTAAGGTACTATATTTATTTAATATTGATCTATTTCAATAAAATATGAATTATAAAATTAAATCTTAATATTCTATAAAAAAGTTTTTCTTAAATTTATAATAATCAGAGTCATGAAAAATGGTAAAATATTTATCCTTCAAATAATCAGATAAAAGCCTCAGTAGCAAAAATGCTTCAACCAATATTTTTATTTCTTTTTTTTTTGCAATAGCAAGTGGCCTTCGAAAGTCATCAACCTATAATAATAACCTATCAGACAAACCATAAGCTATACCAACTCTCAATTGGACCAACCACCTCGCAAATCATGACCCCCTATCAAGACATAAGCTGCACCACGGAGAACATAGCATCCCTCTAAACAAATACAACATTTATTATCAACAAGAAAAGGAGTTTGACCAATACAAGGCACAATATTAACTTATTGTTCAAGTTCAAGGAATAAAATAATACAAGCTACGGTACATCATAATTATTTTGATGTGGATCGGTAAGTGTCTTACAACAGTATCATGCTGATACGAACGTCACAGCTTGTCAGTATTACGAAAAATAAAATGAATTTGCATTGCAAAGTACATGTAAAGAGGTAAAATCAATTCAACTCAAAAACACAGAGGTATAATATTTCTTGAGTTATGTTTGTAGATTAAATAAGAACATAATATAAAAGTGTTTGTTTATCCTGAGGGTGGTCTACTGTTGTCAAAATTGATATCCATCAAATGCAACTGATCCAACATCCATTACTTCTGTCTTATATGCTTAAACTCAATCCTTCCAATACATAATTTATTGTTTTCTATTCCAAATTTTGCCCAAGACCGCAATTTCTTTCACTCTGATTTGGTAATGCTATAGTAAACCCTCTTTGATCAGTCCGTAGTTTAGGTGTTATTCTTGATGAATCTCTTGCTTTTTTTCCTTTTGTCTTCGTTTGTAAGTCATCCTTTTTGAATAATCACAACCTATGGCAAAACCCTAAGTACCTCTGTTCCAAATCAACTGAAAAACTTGTTGAAGCATTTATATCTTCTAAATTGGATTAATGTAACTTAGTTCAAAACTCTGCTGCCAGAATTTGTTCTTTTGTTGCTTGTCAATAGCACTAAACCCATTCATTAAAATTTACATTGGCTCCCTGTTAAAAAAAGATTTACATTCACTTGTCTTCAAGTCAATCTCACTTTTAAAAACATCTTTGGAGTTCCTTATGCCCTATATTCCCTCCCGTGCACTCCGTTCAACTGATGAACAATGAAATATTTTTCACTTGCGCCTTTGACAATTTTTGAATTGGCGTGGTAAAAATGTCTAATTATTATTATTATTTTGTATGGCAATATATACAAATACCCTGTATAGAGTGCCCTAGTAACAAAAATATGTCACCTTGTTGATATTATTCTTTTTGGAACTTGCAAATCGTATCTAATTAATTCCAACTGAAACTTAACAACAACAGTGAAATTGAAAATATTTCCACAGTGTAACATAGGATAGATACAGTACCACACACAGAACTAGATGACTATAACTGAGCTAAGTTGTTCTTGAATGTTGTACCGCCAAACCTTCATACAGTATACACTGTTTGGTGACTAAGAGTAAGACCATTTTCTTTCATTCTAACCATGACATGAATAATTTAGAGTTTAAATACTGTAATGAAGCGCATTTTGTATTTAATGATAATAATCTTTATTTATTCACAAGATTCTATCACCCTGTAGGTGTTCTTACAAAAGGCTGTGAGGTACATTAATACAATTAATAAGACTTAAATTAAACTAAAAAGAAAAAAATGCACAAATGTGACCCAAGCTCACAAACGGGCTGTAAACTCGTCCTCAGGCCAAAATGAGTTTTTGTTATAATGGCATAGAACATATCATTTACTTTAAAATGACAGTTAAATGAACTCAATCGGGTGTCTGGAAGCAAAGTTATGACCGTTTGAATAATTGTCATCTTATCAACTTTCTTAAATCAAGTTTTGAGAAAAATGCTTTTATTTTCAGCAGGTTTCTATTCATTTTTCATTAGCTCCCATCCGAAAATGGCTAAATTTTACCTCTTACAATTGGAATTTTAAACTCAAACCTTAGGAATAGTAAGATTAATAGTTATACTTTATTTATTACACATAAACCCAATTCACACAAAATTCACATTCTACGCCCTATTCTGGGTATTGAGGCTTGTTTCTCAATACAGTGCAGTGCGAGTTTACAGCCCGTTTGTGAGCTTGGGTCACAATTGACAAAGCCCTTCCCAATGACCACTTTTCTTGATCCAACTGTATCATCAACCAACTAGCTACTAAATATAACAACTACCTGTATTGTAACTCCCACATAACATGTATTGATAATAGAATGTACATACATATTTAAACAGAGCCTGAAGATATTGCAACTAGCACAAAATAAGAAACCTACTCATGTTTAATCACATATACTAAAGTTATATTATCCTTGCAGAGCAGAATGATTACTCTACATCATGCACTACATTTTATCTGGTGTAAACAAATTCAAATGCATTAAATTACAAGACAGCACGATACACAATCCATCTTAAATACCAATTGGTAGGTGATCTATTGATTTTAATATTCAACATCAAATCAATACAAACCTCAAGTTACAGTATCCTCCATTTTAACTGTGGTCTTCAACACAATCCAAATGTTAGTTACTAACGTACCAAATCTAACAATACCAGCAAAATTATACATTCATATACTGTACCCGTAGATATGCTGGCTCTTAAAAATACTGAGCAGTTTGTCTCCGATTCACTCAATCAAGTTCAGTAACAAAAATACTGCCTATTACTGTACTGTATCTCGAAAGGTACTCCTTGTAAAGGGCGTCCTTCAAAATACCATAAAAAAACGTTCGTATCGAACGCATGCTGCATCTCCATGACACATGTTCGAGTTCCAAATGCAAGTTTGATGAGTTTCAAACTCCATTCGTTTTCAAATAGGGTGCCCCCTACTTCATGGTAGTAGTACCCATCATGTACAGTACCGCCACGGGATTTACTCGCTCTTACAAGATTAACTGCCAGACAATAACATAGTTTCTATGCCACCGAGGGAGCAATAGACACAAAAACCATAACCAAGCACAGACACCAAACTAGCAGATTAAGCCAAACTTTTTTTATACCTTGTTGTGCAAACTTTTTTTTCAAATTGTCAGAGGGCCGAAAAAAAAAAATATATAAAATTTAGTTTTCTTATTTAGCAAATAGTTTTGCCAAAAACACCCAGAGAGAGGAGAAAATAAAAATTAAATTTTACTGGTGAATGTAAACAGTGTAGTAATGGGACGGTTAAATGCTTTAAATTTACAGAATTAGGAAGAAATATACTTTATCTTATTTTCGGAGATTTCAGGGCAGCGGCGGATGTAATTAAAAAAATAAAAAACTTTCTTTTGACATTGTTATTGAACATATGTATACAGTAAATGAATTAGGAACAAATAAATTTCATTGTAGTGATAATAATGATTATATAAATACAACATGGTTTGAGGTGAGAACTCTACTTGCAGAGGTGATGAATGATTGGGACTACATCCCAACACGAAGCAAACTGTCCATCTACATTACATTCGATCTGTGAGTATTAAATTATACAGTTTGCATACAGTTCACATAGCCAGGTGTGGTAGTCAATTTTGGGTAGGGTGCAGTAGTACTATTTCCCAGTATCTGTTTAAATGCACCCTCAGGGAGGTAGTCAATATTACCACACCATGTACCAAGTGGAATTGACTACTGAAATTAAAATTACTTTGCAAACTTTCAAACAATAATGAACTATTGTTATTATAAAATTAATATTTATGAGGTGCAGCAAGAAACAATGACCTAGAAACATGCATTTACAGTGTGCACCGATGAGAAAGAATGGAGAAACTGAAATTGAGATAACTTACCAGTTTTAAGCATAGTTTCTGATTAGCACTATCATACATCTACAGAAGCTCTACTGAACAAACCTATGACAAAATAAATATTGATATTGTAATATAGTGTTTATTCCAACATATCTATAGGTGGTGGGCTAAACCGTACATCCATTATGCACACATTTATCATATTTTTTTCTTCGCTTTCTGATGTTTAATCTTCTTCATACAGTACCTCTACAATTACTTATTAGCCTACCTGGGCCTTTTGATATTATTTTATGACCACAAAGACAGTAAATAATACAAAGAACTTGTCTAGAATCGTCCTAATCCTATGCACTACAATGGCCTATAGCTAAGTTTAGATGAAGCGATGCACTTGTCACGTCTTCACAAATATTTAAAGCGTCTACGTAATGAACGCGCAGAGGATTTGTAATTCTTAAAAAAAGTGGCCTAGTATGAAACTGAGCATGTTAA